ATCCAATTGGACAACACCACCACAGTGGCTTATTCAAACGTCTGGGTGGTACACAAAGTGCAATAGCAGTGCTGGATTCATTTCACCTTCTACAGTGTGCAGAAAGGTTTGCTCCAGCTCTGTCCGCTGTACACATTCTAGGTGTTGAAAATTGGCAGGAGGATTATCTCACTGTCTTCCCTGAGGGGATGTCAGACATTGATCTTCTTCTAGCGTTCCTCCTCATCCGAAAGGTTTGGAGGTTCTTGGAGAGAACGTTGGATCCTCTGGCGAACGCGATGGATTCGCTGCTGGCGCCCTGGGATCAGTATTTTTATTACAGTTTTCTTTCTTTTATTGACACTTTTCCTCCCCTCAAGCTGATTTCTCAACTGCTGCACAGGATAGAAGCCAAAGGCATTCCAGTCATTCTGATGGCCCCAGACTGGCCTTGCCATCTGTGATTTGGTGACATCGTTTGTCTGGTAGAAGACACTCTTTGGTGGTTATCTCTTCACGAGGATCTTCTGTTTCAGAGGCCAGTCTTTCACCATGCTTTATTGTTGCTGGCTTTGATGGCATGGCTATTGAGAGCCAGGTTTTGAAGCACAGGGGTTTGTCTTGCTCGGTGATTCCAACTATATTGAAGGCTCGTAAGTCTGCCCCCAGAAGATTTATCATTGCACCTGGAAAGCTTATATTGTTTGGTGCAAAGCTTTCCATCCCTCCAATACCCATTCCGCTCCTTCTCAGTGGCTTGGGTATTGGCCTTCTCCAAAGTGGAAGCTGATCAGAGGCTTGCTTTAAGTACTATTAAGGGTCAGGTCTCTGCTCTGGCTATGGGGTTCATCATGTGATGCCCGCTGTGCGATCTCCATTGCTGCCATGAGACGTGAATCTAGTTTTCTAGGTTCTTCAGAAGCCTAATTTCAAGAGCATTTGGATATTCCTTTGCTTATACTCTCTCAGAAAGGTGCCTTCCTGGTCGCTATCACTTTTCCTTGCCGGGTGTTGGAATTGGCAGCTTTGTTCTGTACATCTCCCTATCTGATTTTGCACAGGGATATGGTGGTACTTCAGCCGTCCCCTTCTTTTCTTCTGAAGGTGGTGTCAGATATTCACCTGAATGAGGACATTGTCCTTCCCTCCTTGTGTCCTCAGCTTTCACATCCTAAGGAGGTGGCTTTGCAATCCCTGGACGTGGTCTGTGCGATTCCCGTGCACTTACCTATCTGTGGCAGCGGTCTTTCGAAGATCTGACTCGCTTTGTGCTCACAGATTTTCCGAGGAAAGGCAAGGCAGTTTCTTCTGACACTATTTCCCATTAATTTGGCAGATGATTGTTCAGGCAGGAACCTCCCTTCCCCTTTATGGCGCACTCCACCAGGGCGGTTAGCACCTTTTGGGCATTCCGACATCAGGTGTCTGTTTCTCAGGTTTGCAAGGTGGTGGTGGGTTTTCTCATTTAGTTGTTTTTTTCCATCCCTCATTGTGGCACTGCTTTGGGATATTCCTGTTTGTTCATGAATAAAGAAGAAAGGCTGTGTCCATCCATTAACATAAGATAAAATGGGATTTTTTTGTTCACCATAAAATCCCTTTCTCTTAGTTAATTGACTGACACCGCATCCACCCGTCTACTGGAGTTTTTTTTTCTTTTGACACTGCTTGTGACTAACTGATTTGCCTATAGCAGAGAAGGTTTTTATGCCTAAAGAGGACTGCCCATAGGAGACGCCAAGTTTTTTTCTGCCTAGTGTCCTCCTCCTGTAGGTGGTGCTATAGAACCCTGTTTGGTGATGAATAAAGAAGAGAGGCTGTTTTCTGTCAATGAACTCCGAGAAAGGGATTTTATGGTGAGTAGCAACAAATAAAGTTTATTTATTGTCTCTTTATTTCTCACACACACAACAACATTGGCATACTTACATTTACATCCCAAACACATTCTGCTACTTCTCCTATGTATGGAGATGCCACAGCCTAGACACATAGAGGGGTCCATAATCCAAGGAGCATAAAATTACGCATCTCATTTCCTGAATATCCATCACATTTTTTTAGTTTAAATAAACAAGTACTGAGCTAGTGTAATGACCAGATACTTGCACATCCACATATAAAATAAACATAAAAGTCCTTCAAAGTCTCTTTAGCATAGATATTATCTTATGTGCTACTTATGTGAAGGTATCATCCACCATTCGTGCTCATATGATTATATTTACTCTGTGTATATTGCCACCACCAGATGTACTCTCACCTGGATTCTTTGACCTCACATAACATGCTTGGTCAAAATACGCTTTTGTTCCTCTGTATCGACCATTTAGGGCATTCAAAATTATAGCGATCTTGTTATCCCAATCCTCCTAAAACTGGCACTCTCCTTCATTCCTCCACTCAGTACCATACAAAAAAACACTATTATAGTGCTTATCATTTCTTTTTTGATTAACCAGATTAACAAAAATGCACTCACATAAAACAGGTGCTAGACTGCACCAGCTATATACAGCCTTACTAAAAAAATATAGCGATCTTGTGCAATTAATTGTAGAGCTACCGCACTTCCACATTCGTCGAGCGTCATGATGTCACCCAGGCCCTGTGCTATGTGTTTCATCACAGGAAAGGGGGGGAAGAAGTCATATGTCCTTTGATGAAACGCATAGGACAGGGCCTGGATGACATCACGATGCTCAATTAACGCTGAAGTGGGGTAACTCTAGTTATTGGGACATTGCACAAGATCGCTATATTTCATAATAAGCCTATATACATTCACTGGCCACTTTATAAGGTACACCTTGTTAGTACCAAAAACATAACCTCCATACCATTATACCACCAGTCTGAAACGTTTGATAGAAGGCAGGATGGGTCCATGCTTTCATGTTTTTTACACCAAATTCTGACCCTACCATCTGATTGTCACAGCAACCAGTCTGCCCATTCTCCGCTGACATCAAAAAGGTATTTTCGACCATACAACTTTCTCTCACTGGATATTATTTCTTTTTCAGACCATTCTCTGTAAACCCTAGAGATGTTTGAGTGTGCAAATCCCAGTAGATCAGCAGTTTTTGAAATACTCAGACCAGCCCGTCTGGCACCAACAGCCATGCCACATTCAAAGTCACTTAAATCCCTTTTCTTCCCCATTCTTATGTTTGGTTTGAACTTCAACAAGTCGTCACCACGTCTACAAGTCTAAATGCATTGAGTTGCTGCCATATGATTGGCTGATTAGCAATTTGTGTTACCAAGCAATTGAATAGGTGTACCAAATAAAGTGGCCGGTATATCTGGTGTGATCTAGCACCTGTTTTATGTGAGTGCATTTTTTAAATTTGGTTAATCAATACATTTAAAAAAAAAAAGGATAAGCACTATTATAATGTTTTTTGTTTTTTTTTGCAAGGAAGTGAGCGGAGGAGAGTGCTGTTTTTAGGAGTGGAAGTACATCTGATGGTGGTAATATACATAGAGTGAAATATCATATAAGCACGTATGGTGGATGGTATCTTCACACAAGCAGAACACAAGATAATATCTATGCTAAAGAGACTTTGAAGGACTTTTATGTTTATTTATATGTGGATGTGCATGAATCTGGTCATTATACTAGCACAGAACTTGTTTATTTGAATTGTACACTTCATAACTTGTATGAGAGTTATACTGAGTACTTAGCTGCTGCTAACACTATAGCTTTATATATTTTATTTTAGTTTATTTTACTTTATATTTTTATATTATTGGTTTTAAGCTATTTATAATTTATTGAACACAAAAGATCACTGTAGCAGCTCACAAGCAAACACCCCAAGGTATTTTCTGAAAGGTGTAGTGAGTCTTTGAAAATGTCTTTTTTTTTTCTACCGTGAGTTTTTGTAAAATGGTAGAAAGAAAATGAAAATATATTTTTTACACAAACGTATGAATTAGAGATTTTTCTACCACACAGTATTAGAATTACACCCCAAAATGTGTTCTGCTACTTCTCCTGGGTATAGGAATACCACATGTGTAGGACTTTTTCACAGCCTAGCCACATAGGCCCAAAATCCAAGGAATATCTTCAATTCTAGGAGAATAAATTACGCATCTAATTTACAGACAAGGTATTTTACAAGAAGCATGGCGATGCTTTTTAAAACATTTTTTTGCCACAAGTTTTTGGAAAATAAAAATAATTTATTTACACAAGGGTGTAAAAATTGACATAAGGGTGTCAATTTAATTAGATATTACACTGCATAGGCATGAATTACACTGCATAACACAATCTGCTGCTCCTCTTGAGTGTGGCGATAACGTGTAAGACTTTTTCACAGCATAGCCACACGGAGAGGCCCAAAATTCAAAGAGCGCCTTCAGGTGTTCTAGGAGTATAAATTACATATCTGAATTCCTAACTGCCTATCACATTTATGGCCTCTGTGATTGACTGCACTATTTGGGCTCGTTAGCGGTGTAAAACCTCATGGTTGAACTGTCGTTTTACAGCCCCCAACCACTACCCCCTTTAGCTGCAGAATTGGCGACCAGAGGTGTACACATGATGCTGCTGTGATGCTTTGCTTTGCAGCCGTGATCGGAATTATACTACTGTCACGTTTGGCAGGCGTAGAGTCCAACAAACGCAACCCATTCATGTAGATGTGGACCCTTGTACTCTATCCAAGGGGTTAAAGCAAGTGGTGAGGAGGTGATACAGTGCCTCTTTACCACCTGTCAAATGCTCTCTGATCTGAACACCGATTGCTCTTAAAAGAGCACCACATGTGTGAACAAGACCTCATGGTAACACTGGGACTGGAGTGGTGGTGATTGGGTACATTGTGACTGGTTGCACTGGCCTAGGGACAGTGTACTGCTGTGGTGTGATCATTAGAGATGAGCGAAGTATTCAAAAATTCGATTCGGCTGATTCGAGGAATAAATTCGATTCGAGGCGAATATATTTGCTGCGAATTTAACTTATAAAAAGGGTGTTTCTAGGCTTCAGAGAGCCTTTATATTAGTGCAGAACACTGTACCTTTAATTTAAATGCCCTTGGAGTCTGCTGGGGAAGAGAAATAATACTGTCAGTCAGTATGACATGCAGACATGAGTGCCGTCGATCTTAGAATCACCGCACACTTCACTCATTTGGGCAGTCACGGGGCCAAAACCAGAGTGTGGAGCCACAGTGTGGCGGTGGAGGCAGCAGCAATGGGAGGCCATACAGCACCCTGTGACAAAATGGAACCCACCAGCAGTGTGAGGAGACCTGAAAGTGGCACATGGCAGAGTGTGGCGATGGAGACAGCAGCAATGGGAGGCCGTACAGGGACCCATGACACACTCTGGACCTGGCAGCAGCATGAGGAGGCGGTACAGGGGCCCATGACAGATTACGGGCCTGGCAGCAGCATGAGGAGTCGGTACGGGGGCCCATGGCAGATTACGGGCCTGGCAGCAGCAATGGGAGGCCCGTAATCTGCCAGCACCCTATGACAAAATGGAACCCACCAGCAGTGTGAGGAGACCTGAAAGTGGCACATGGCAGAGTGTGATGGAGACAGCGATGGAGACAGCAGCAATGGGAGCATGAGGAGGCCGTACAGGGACCCATGACAGATTACGGGCCTGGCAGCAGCATGAGGAGGCGGTACAGGGGCCCATGACAGATTACGGGCCTGGCAGCAGCAATGGGAGGCCCGTAATCTGCCAGCACCCTATGACAAAATGGAACCCACCAGCAGTGTGAGGAGACCTGAAAGTGGCATGGCATGCAGAGTGTGGCGATGGATGACATGGGCCCCCTGGGAGGCTTGACTTTTCTGGCCACATAGTCGACATACGGCTACGTTTACTTCCTCGGGCAGCTTGACATGGAAAATTGCCCCACACCGCCGAGTAGGAAACTTTGCCACACACCGCCCCCCGCTACTCCTCACTGGCTGACTGCTACTTCCTCCGTGCACACCGGCACCACTACTGGCCGTGGTGGTAGGCTGCAGTGGAGCTGGTGCTCTACTCCGTGGCCGTTTGCCTCCACTGACACTGCTGCGACCCTGCTGCCTCTTGGGCAACCCACCGACTGTTTTGCTCGCTGGCAAGCTGGCACCCTCTTCTCCTGATGATGCGGAAGCAATAGCTTGATGACGACGAGGCTGCCAAGTGCGATCAGCCTCATCATCATCAATTAGGGTCTCCGCCTCACTACTAGCCCTCTCGGCTGCGTGTGGGTCAGGAGACAGACCTGTCTCTAGACCGGCTACCGAGCCACTCTCCTCGCCAGTACTTCTTTGCCTGGCTGCTGAAGAGGCGGATGTCTCCCCCCGTTCCTGACCGCCCTCTGTTAGCTCTTCCTCACTGTACAGTGGGGCTGAGCCCACAGCATGCGATACTTCGCTTGGTGAGGGAACACCAAAGGACAGGGGCAGGTAGAGGACACGTGATTTCAGTGGGCTTGCTCCCGGGCCATGCCAACTAATGGTTGTGTCTGACGTACCCACCGACCATTGGCTGTAGGTGTCAGAGGTGACCTGGGAAGAGGAAGACGACCGAGCCAACCAATCGATGACGGCAGGGTTGTCGGTGGAGACACGACCGCTGGATGACACCGGGAGCACTGGCCTCTGGCTGCGACTAGTGCTGCCTCGACCCTTCCTCTGCTGCCACGTCTGCTCGCTCCTGAAACATTGTCTCCTCTGCCACTCCTCTGCGTGTTGTCTGACATACTCTTTAATTCAACGATTCTGTGTCCCTGAGTAACGATTCTGTGTCCCTGAGTAACGATTCTGTGTCCCTGAGTAACGATTCTGTGTCCCTGAGTAACGATTCTGTGTCCCTGAGTAACGATTCTGTGTCCCTGAGTAACAATTCTGTGTCCCTCAGTAACAATTCTGTGTCCCCAGTCAGTGAGTAACAATTCTGTGTCTGTCCCTGAGTAACAGTTCTGTGTCCCTGAGTAACAGTTCTGTGTCCCTGAGTAACAATTCTGTGTCCCTGAGTAACAGTTCTGTGTCCCTGAGTAACAGTTCTGTGTCCCTGAGTAACAGTTCTGTGTCCCTGAGTAACAATTCTGTGTCCCTGAGTAACAATTCTGTGTCCCTCAGTAACAATTCTGTGTCTGTCCCTGAGTAACAATTCTGTGTCCCTGAGTAACATTCTGTGTCCCTGAGTAACAATTCTGTGTCCCTGAGTAACAATTCTGTGTCCCTCAGTAACATTCTGTGTCCCTGAGTAACAATTCTGTGTCCCTCAGTAAAAATTCTGTGTCCCTCAGTAACAATTCTGTGTCCCTGAGTAACAATTCTGTGTCCCTGAGTAACAATTCTGTGTCTGTCCCTGAGTAACAATTCTGTGTCCCTGAGTAACAGTTCTGTGTCCCTGAGTACAGTTCTGTGTCCCTGAGTAACAATTCTGTGTCCCTCAGTAACAATTCTGTGTCCCTCAGTAACAATTCTGTGTCCCTGAGTAACAATTCTGTGTCCCTGAGTAACAGTTCTGTGTCCCTGAGTAACAAATCTGTGTCCCTGAGTAACAATTCTGTGTCCCTCAGTAACAATTCTGTGTCCCTCAGTAACAAATCTGTGTCTGTCCCTGAGTAACAATTCTGTGTCCCTGAGTAACGATTCTGTGGCCCTAAAGTCTCTTTGGCCCTAACTCTGTCCCTAATACAGAGAGGTCTGTCTCTCTTGAATGACCGGAGGCTAATGGAGAATTCTAAGATGGCCGCAATTTATAGCTCGACCATTACACAGTGCTGGCTGGCTGGCTGCTGATTGGCTAATGCGATCACATGTCATGAATGAATGCATTATGGGTCAGCGCGAATTTTTCCTAATCTTCGAAACGAATTCCACTTCGCCGAGTTTGATTCGCTCATCTCTAGTGATCATGTACAATGGCTGGTGGTATTGTATGTCAGTGTAGCCAGCCATTGTCTCTGATCACCACCATAGCAGCGCAATAGCACCATAACAACACTGCACTTCTTCTGGTGACAGTATATAAAAAACACACACACACACACATATATATATATATATATATATATATATATATATATAAATACTGTATATATTGCAGTGTTGCTATGATAACATTGTACTGCTGTTGCTACTATTGATCAGAGGCAATGGCTGCTGCATTGGCATACAGTGTCATCAGTGTAGCCACTAATTTTTCTGATCAGAAAGAGAGCAGTACAGTGTCACTGTAGTGACACTGTTCTACTTGGAGGGAGCATTTTTTATTTCACACATTGAATGCTTTCTGCAGTGCCAATGACTGGGAAGCATTCCGTTCTCTCACAGCTGATTGTTGTGAGAGGGAACAGCTCAAAAACTGCAGGCTTGCAGTCTACATATACATGTGCAATCATGTGGTCTTGTGATCTGCTATGTCCCTCTAGGCTCATTGGTACCTGCATTAGTTTCTGTGCACAAGCCCCTGATGCAATGGATATACGGGTACATCCACTTGCTTCAGTGCTGCTCCCTTTCAGCCATTTATGTACACAGGCCAGACAGGAGGTGGTTAATGTTACATGGTACACCCCAAATATGGGTGGAACGTGCCGCAGCTGACCTTAGCCTTTACCAAGTTATAAGGGGTCAGCGTTGAGGTTTCATTACAAAATTCTTCTTAAATGTTATTGTCCTCCAGTTAGATGATGTTCTGAGTGTTTGTAACATTTGCCTATGTACTATATTTTAACCCCCAAAAGCCAAACCAAACAAAATTACAAGAATGTACTGGTGCTGATAAAATCACAAATATGTTAAAAAGGGGGATTTAGTTACAATTTACAGAATATAAACAGCATACATTTTGAAAACAATGCACAAATAAATACAAAAAAATTAAGGTAGGTGGGGAGGCTGTTGGTGTGATAAGGGGGTGTTGGTGGGGTGGGCAGAGTGGATAAGAAAAGCGGATATGGAAAGCAGAAGGGGGATGGGTAGAATGGGTAAGATTGCAGAGGGGGTACTTAGAAAGAGTAGGGTAAGGTGGGTACGGGGGGTAGATTAAGGTTGGAGACAGATAAAGCAGAGGGGGGTTCATAGAAAGAGTAGGGTAAGGCTGGGTACAGGAAGAGGAGAGGTGGGAAGAAGGGATAGATCAATTTGGGCTACAAACAAGAGGCATAGTGTGGCCTCAGGAAGGTGCAGGAGAGAGTAGAGATTGAGAGGTGGCAGAGGAGGTGTGGAGGAAGAGGTTATGGAGGAATACTGACTAGAAGAATGTGTTTTCTGAGATTGTGTGGGATAGACAGATGGTGCAAGGTTGGGAATGTGTGCAGTATTGAGAGGTAAGGTGAGCTCAGCTAAATGAAACTCAGAATGTATGTGGGTCTGCTGATGTGAAAGTGTGGGGGCATGTGACCAAGTGGGGATTTCTAAAACAAACTTGTGCAGGGGTGTCAGGGTTGGGCTGGGGGCTGTCTGCACCTCTAGGCCTAAAACAAGAGCCGTGCTGATGTTAGAAATATTTAGCAACATTTGACTGTGCCCATATGCTGTTGTCTGTTGTTGGCCCGCTAAACTTAGTTGCTGAGTGTCAACATAATGTTGCATTTGTGCATTATGATGCTCAGCCATAACTAGCATTTGGTTTTAAACAGTCATGAGGTCCTGCCTTATCAAAGCAATAAAGTGTGTGAAGGAGCTTGTCAAGCCCAAACTACAACCCCCAGGAGAGGTCTGATAAACCAGACATAACATGGATGATAATTGTAATAAATCTATCAAATGGATGGATCATACAAAATAGGGTAAAAAAACTAAAAGTACCAAATGAGAAACACAGGCCGAAAATTGTGGAAAATAATAATTGAAAAATGACGACAATATAAATGAAACAGTATAGAAAAGGATCACCCCCTTTAAAATAATCATATTTTGTTGCTTTGCGGCCTGAAATAAAGACACACAGTTTTTGTTTTAAGCGGCTGTATTTACTCAGTGCAACTTACAACATCCAAGTGAAAGATATAACACCAACATGTCAGAGAAAAAATTCAAAAACAGATTCACTGAGTTGGAAAAAGGATCACCCCCATCCTAAAAATGACTTGTAAACTCAATCAGGTGTAGCTAAGCACCTTCTCAATGACACACAAAGCAATCTGACTTTCAACTGTGATCAGCTGTGGTCATTTTGCTTCGCTAAGCATGAAAAGAGCTTTCCTGGAGCATTTCGGTCCCTGGCAGTGCAACTGAAGCAAACCAGTATGAATGGCAAGGCACTGTTAAAAGATCTCAGGGATAGAGGGGTGCTTTTGAGCAGTGTCCAAGATGGCTGCTCTGTAGGCACGCCTCTCGCCCACATCGGCCGATCCACCAGCTCTCAGGGAGTGTCAGACATTTGCCCACCACCCCCCCCCCCCCCTCCCCCCCCCCCCCCCCCCCCCCCCCCCCCCCCGTGGATCACTGCCACCCACCAGCCCTGTTGGAGAAAAAAAAAAAAGGGGGGCCTCCAGCGCTCGGCAGGCTACGCCGGAACTCGCCTACCCGTCGGAGGCGGCATCTGAAGCCCCGGCCTCGATTTCAGACCCGCCACCGCTACTCACAGCGAAACTGGATCTTGCTGACGCAACGGACACTGTGTCAGAGGCACCCCTGCAGTCCCGCACACCAGCTCTGCTGAGCTTCTGGGTCGCTTCAAGTCTATGCTGCAGACAGAATTGGCCTCCGCTACTTCCAGG